GATTGCATGGGTGAACAAGTATGTGTGTGCAGAAACAAAATAAGGCGTACCAAATTCTCATGTGAATGGAGCGATAATTTCAGAATTTGTGTTGGTCGGTGCATTGTTAATACAATTGTTGTATATAGGATATGTGCGGAAGGTTTTATTTACATTGAGATAATCCATCTTGATGTCATCATATAGCATGAAACTTGGAAAGTCTTGGATAGTATCAATTTCATTAATTATAAGTGGTCTGATACTGAGCAATGTTAATTGCGAAGTGAGTAAAGGGAGGAATTGAAGTTAAGGGGGGCAATGCTTATTTTATATAGCATTTTCAGACAGGGAGATGCTGCTGTTTTAGTATAGTGTACAGTTGCGGTCCCATTTTGTCTTACTGCGCAATCTCATTATGGGCCAGTGTTCACCGCACTTGCTTCATTTTTGCAGCCACTTACTCTATATCATTGCCTTCAACTATCTCGCGTCCGAACCTCAAGATATGATGGCCATGACACTCTGCACATTCACTATTTAGGTAAAATCTGTTATGTTCAGCTCTCTTCCATGTAGAGTGCTTGCATGCATCTGTGTAAGTCCGGTTGTTCCATGGTAGCCAGCTGCTTCAGTGGTTCCTGCTAGCGTCATTCTTTATTGGGCCAAGCTGGTTTAAAATGCCTTTGAGGTTCACTGTATGCTAGGGCTAGTTGTGGATGATTGCATTTTTGCAAAGTCTTGAAGTGTTGGTAAACTTCTTAATGCCTGCTGAAATTTATTTCAGAAAGTATAAGCGTCTCTTGGTATTATCATTTGTTTCATTGACTACCTCCATCCCACATTGTATTGGTTGTACAGGATTATCACTAAATATTTGGGCACAAATACGTGCCATTAAGTAGTAAGCAATATTGTACTTAAATAGTTTTAATTAAGAATCAAGTTTTAATTATGTGATGGTTCCAGTTTACCACAACTCGCCATAGGAGAAATATCTTTCTTCAAGTACTCTATAGCTCTTTCAACCAGATAACAGGCACTGATGTTTTGCTTTCTTCATGCACATTATCTACCACATATCTGAAGGACCTGAGAAAGAGCTGCTTCAGCTTGCGGTGTTTGCAGAACTACGTGCACTATTTCCAGGTGTCCACCTTCGCATTGAACTTGTGGGGCCAGCAGTTCCAAGATCCAGGTTAGCCACCGAAGCTGATTTTTGATTTTAATGTTTGATATTTCCTTGTGTTTGCCTGACAACTTCATATATATACTTACTTTTTTCCCCATCATTATTTTTATCGTTCCATTTTTTATTAGAGCTAAATAGAAATCTGCTCCAGTTAGTCATCTTAAATAGAAAAGGTTGAACATTAATCTAGACTCTGGAAATAATTTAGGGGGTGTCATGTTCAGAATTCTTGTTTATGTCGCATTAATTTTGATCGCATTATTCATTTGTGCAAACTTGATTCAGTTCTGATTTTTTCCATAGTCAGAGGATCTAACTGTCTTGCTTGTGTGCAAGCCAACCTCGAAATCTATTCATGGCTGTATGGGAGAACAATCTTTCACCTTTAGATTTAACCATTTAGACATATGTCGAATGAATGCAATATTGACTAATACAATCAAATAGTATGATGACGTCCATAGAAGATGGTGTTGCATGTTTTAACTTACAGCAGAAGATGAGGCATTAAATTGCTTTAAGATCAGTAAGGTTGAGGTAGAGAACCAACTAGATAAGAAAATCAAATGCCTAAGGTCGAATAGAGGAGGAGAATACATCTCACGTGTGTTCTCTGAATTCTGTTTGGCCAAGTTAAGTGTGCCAGCATGTGGATGGCAAAAACTAGGACCTAAAATGGGTGCCATGTGATAAGGATTCTGGGCAGTGCTGTGCTCCACACAACTACTCAGGTCTCCGATTGTTGTCGCCTCTCCTTTGCATGTGCCCGATTGCCGCGACCTCTCCTCTGTCTATGTACAAAAGCATGTCCGACTCCATCTGTTGCATTGCAAGTACATGTTGTGATTTGTTATTTCATGTGTGATCAAATTCCCGGTTGACTCATATCGAGTTTAGTCTATCCAAGTTTTAAATCGACGATACACGCAGTACTAGCCTTCATATATTTGATAGTGGTAGAAATCTTGTAGACCTAACATTGATGTTCAGTATGTTGCCTGTTTTTGGAATTATTTTAGTGGTAGGCCTTATTTTCAACAGGTATTACATATACAGTTATTTCCAAATACTGAGTAGGATAATTGGTTTGGAGTTCCTGCTCTTTTTTGTGATTTTGATATGATGGCTGCTTACAGGGATGGTGAAGTTGTAAATATTTCCAGCTATCCAAATTGTTCCGGTGAGAGTTGCCATTGTAGATCTTCTATTGCCTCTGAGAACTTGAATTGCAGTGCAGTGACACTGAGAATATGGAAAGGACTCTATCATGAGAGATATGGTGATATAGTAAAGGTTCTCTCAACAGTAACTCTTGACTTATTTAAAAATGTGAAGTTCCCTGTCAGCTTCACAGTCAAGTATTTTCATGTATGGCTGACTTCCCCCTACTAATAATTTGTTTCTTGGTAGGATTCAAATCCTCATCTTATACTTGCCCCAAATGCGGGTGTAGCTGCTTATCCTAGTTGGATGCCAACTATTGTAAGTATTGAATGCATAATAAACAAGTTATTTTCGTGCTGTAGCATGCATTTATGACTTCAACTGTTTGATCCTCTGCCGGTGTATCCTCCCTCCTTTTGTCAATTAAGTTATAACTTTAATTTTTTGAGTAAAAATGCATGCAGTCAATTAATATCTCTTGTTTCTGTAATACAAGCTATCTTCATCAGCTACATGAGTCATGGAAGCATGTTTTGGCATTTCATAGTAATTGCACATTTACACTGCCTCAGCTATATTTTTAAGAGCCTTTTTTTATTTAAAACAGTTGGTGCTAATTATCATTTGTATTCTATTTCGTTTCAAGGAAATGATTAGGGGGATTGGAGTTCCTGCAATCTTTACGGACTTTTGCGAAGAAGCTGCTCATCTGGCTTCTTGCTGCATAAGCTCCATAACTGGTCAACCCCTGGGACTCCCTGTATGTCTTGTATATGCTCTGTCTTTTGTTATCTCTTTTGTTGTTGAATTATGGAGCGTCAATCAAACTAACACCTTCATCATCTGTCATTTCTCATCCAGATACAGGTAAATCCTTTCAGGCAGCCAATTGAGGAGAACAATAGTGCGCTATACATACCATGCTACTCGAATGGTTTTGTTTTTGGAATGTAAATAGCCATTTTAGCCCCCTTTTTATCACCAGAAAATATTCAGAGGTTCAGTCGTGGAGGTATGATAATGTAACTTCTCCTAATAAATATAGAGAAAGATGCTATGAAATATGTTTACATGGATGATATTGCCCTTGGTTGTAAACGGTATGTACTCCCTCCGTTCCTAAATATTTGTCTTTTTAGAGATTTCAACAAGTGTGACTACATACAGAGCAAGATGAGTGAATCTACACTCTAAAATATGTCTATATACATCCGTATGTGGTAGTCCATTTGAAATCTCTAAAAAGACAAATATTTAGGAACATAGGGAGTATGTGTTAAAAAACATGTGCTTTTAAGGTGAACTCATGAAATCATTATTTCAGAGCTAACTGTTCGTATGAAAGTTGATGTGTTGCCCTGTTGGCGCAGTTGCACAATTTGCTTATTGCAAAATCTGCCCCATGGTGGACCTAGATAGTTATTTGCCTTTTATCTAGCTAACGAAAAACAAGTGTTCATATCTCTAGGGAAAGGGAGGGAATTTTAAGGTATAATCCCCCGTCCCTACATATAAATCTTTTTAGAGATTTCAATATGAACTACATATATACGAAACAAAGTGAGTGAATCTACATTCTAAAATATGTCTATATACATCCGTATGCATTCCATATTAAAATCTCTAAAAAGATCTATATCTAGGCATATTAAAATCTCTAAAAAGATCTATATCTAGGAACGGAGGGAGTATATCACATGATATATCAAAACCTTTAAAATGGCACGCAGGAGTAGCTGGGCATGGCCGCCTACACCGGCGCTATAATTTACACTGCATGCAGGAAGACTTTTACATGTGATAATGGCTTGGAGGCAGAGCTCTTGGCGTGCAGAGAAGGCGTCGAGCTCGCGCTGCACAGAACCCAACTCCCCTTCGTTGTTGTTGAGCTGGACTGTGCAGAGGCGGTAATGATGACCAAGAGTCCCATGCAAAATCGCTTGAAGTATACGGCACTGGTACAGGACATCAAAGGAATGATCGCTGAGAGCATGAGGGAGATAGTGTCGGCTCACATTAGTCACTCACATAACAAGGTTGCTCATGGCCTTGCTGCCTACGGTAGATGTGCGCCTCGCATCGCGGTGTGGTTTGGGCCGGGGACAAATGAAATTGTATGTCTGTGTATGGTAGACTCTCCTCCTTAATAAATAAAATCCCCCTTCCCCTCGCAAAAAAAAAAAAAACCCGCCCGAGGAGCGTTTGATTAGCTAGTTGGTGTGGTAATCGCTTACCAAGGCAAGGTCCGAGAGGATGATCAGCCACGCTCGGACTGAGACACGGCCTAGACACTGACGTGCATGCATACATATACATGTACACATGCAAATCCGCGGCGCAGCCCATGGTTTTCATACATGATATATATGTATATACGACGGTGCTCAAAGTACTCGAAACACGAAAGCTCGCCAGGAGCCAACGTGGGTTCAGCGTCATTAATCATTAATCATTCTACACTTGGTACTAATTGATTCGCCAATCATGGATCTCGAGATGATTAGCATCTCATTACTACAATATATAGTAAGAAGTACATATAGTACGGAGTAGCAGTTAAATTAGTGAGGGCCAGCAGTACGTTTTTGAGTATATATAGTTGCAACTGAAGGGGTGGGGGTCGGCAATTCACAGGCAACAGCAACCATATCAGTCGGCGTACTCCATGGCCACAGTCCTACTCGACGGCTCCAACCCGGCGGTGGTTCGCGTGCGGCAGCTCATCGACGGCACCGAATCTTCAGGTACGTACTACGTGCATGGGGGCACTGATGGATATATCTGTATGGTATGATCACATGCGTGCGTGCGTGCGTGCGTGCAGATGGGTGGACCAGGTGCTGGGAAGAAGGCCTGACGCCGTGGGACCTCGGCGAGCCCACCCCGGCCGTCGTCGAGCTCGTCAAGTCCGGCACCCTCCCCGGCGGCGGCGGCACCACCGCCACCGTCCTCGTCCCGGGATGCGGCGGGGTACGTACGTCTGCTCGTGCATGGATGGACCCCGGTCGCATGAGCATCATCTTCTTTGCTCTCCGTGGCCTGAAACTAGAGCTATCATAACTAACCTGCACAAAAAATGCAGGGGTACGACGCGGTAGCTCTGTCCGGCGCCGGACGCTTTGTCGTCGGCCTCGACGTCTGCGACGCCGCCATCCAAAAGGCCAGACAGGTGGATCACGCATTTCCGAGTAAAAATGGACAAATCTGACTTTTTTGAAACTTTAACACAAAATGAACCCAATTCAAAACAAATTCACGAAATGGCCCACTTTTACATGACGTCTGGGGTTGGAGCGTTTCATGCCCTGGCTTACCTCCGGGCGTCATGCAAATAGGCCATTTTGTGAAAATAAACAAATTAGATTGGGTTTATTTTGTGTTAAAGTTTCAGAAAATGGCCAGATTTATTCATCTTCGCCACTTATGATAGTATGATACTTCTTCCGTTCCATAATTTAGTGCATATAAATTTTTTAAAAAAGTCAAACCTTACAACCTTTGATAAAGTTTGTGGAGAAAAACATTTACATCTAGAATGCCAATCCTATATCATTAGAAGCATCATAATATGTAGTTTCATATTTTATATATTTGGTATTGTAGATATAAATAGTTTTCTCTACAAATTTTGTCAAAGTTTGTAAAAATTGACTTTTCAGAAAATCTATATGCACTATATTATGGAACGAAGAGAGTATGATATATGAGAAGTTGTGATTCAGCCACTGTGTGTATCGCTACTTGTGATATATTACAACATTAATTAATAACACCATAACTTGCACGGATGATTTCAGTGGTCGTCGATATCGCCGGACGGGAACTTCATCGCCTTCGTCAACGCCGATTTCTTCACCTGGGAGCCACCCAAGCCATTCCATCTCATCTTCGACTACACGTACGTATGCTAATTAACCAAGTTCGAGCAAGTCTGTGAACTATATATGTAGTTACCTCCCTATATACTTATATGACGATGATGTGTTGCTCGTTTAATTGCGTGTTCAGATTCTTCTGTGCTATTGATCCATCCTTGAGATCAGCATGGGCAAGGAGAATGTACGACCTACTCCGACCAGATGGAGAACTCATCACCCTCATGTACCTGGTAACTATGCTAATTAACCACGTTGCAGGAATATTTTGCAACATGTTCCATTGTGATTCGTTGTATGAAACATGAATATTTGAAGCAATAATATAAAAACCTAAAACTGAAAATACATATAATTTATTATGTTTGATTACTATATAGTGGTAAAATGTCTACTAAATATATATAGCATAATAGAATGAAAATTCTCATGTATGTTTCCTTGTTGAGACGGGTCCTTTTTTTTTCATGCATGTCATGATGAAGTGACTTGGTTGCATGTTGAGAGACATATGATAGTGGGGATGGGCCTTTTCTCATGCATGTAGTCCCATGATGTGGCATGTTTGCATGTTGAGAGAAATAGTTAGTGGGGCTAGCTACTTAGATATAGAAGATTCTACTAAAGTAGTACACTGCACAATGTTATTAAGGAGATTTTGATCGGTTAAGACAAGGGCTTCATAGAAAAATACAGTACTACCACTTCTATACATTGTTTATGTGAGAGTTACAAATATAATTCTTTTTTATGAGATATAATACTATGAATACAATATTCTATTTGACATAACATGCATATACTAAAAATCGTTGGTCAACCTTTGTCTTAATCAATCAAAATACACCTTAAATTTGCTTTAAAAAAATACACCTAGTAGTTTATCATAAGGGGGTGGATATATACATGTGTCTTTGATCGTCACCTTTTATATGTATATGTTAATTAGTACAAAGGTATTAAAAACAATGCTCTAAAAGAGAGGATTTCGGCTTCGGGCTCCATGGAGCCCAAAATTTTCAAAATTTTCAAAAATTCAAAAGTTATTTTTTATGTTTTAGAAAAATCTGAAAATAAATAAAAGTACTTATAGATGCATAATATATGTGTGTAAAATTTCATTTTTAAATACGTTTTGATGTGAGCTATACAAAAGAAAAATCATGCACTTCTATAGTGAATATTATATGTGTTAAAGATACATGGTTTTGTTATTTTTGTGTAGCTCTCATAAAAATTTATTTTGATATTTTCTTTAACAACTACCATACAAGCTATTTGCTTAATACATGCTAGTAAGTAGGCCGGTGGTGGAGTATTTATTTTGGTCTTTTTTTTGGTCTGTCTGTATTTCGGTTTCAGAATGGCGTGAATCCATCTATCCACCATTATGAAACTTTATAGACAAGTAGTATAAATCTATGTGTATGTGTATAATTGTTTTTCAGCATTTTCTAAATCATAAAAAAATAGATTTATGAAATTTTCAAAATCTGAGCACCATGGAGCCCGGGAGCCAAACACATTTCTAATTTTAAAAGTACTTCAGATAAAAAATTTAATGGTGTTATTTTCTTAAAATACGTAGATATACTAATATTTTTTTTTTGAAAACTTCGATTGGATGCTTTGTAGAGAATCCAACAGAGCTGTATATGTGATCAGTTAATATGTTTATGGGCTCATGACTTCATGCATGCATGCCAGGTTGAAGGCCAGGAGTCCGGGCCACCATTCAACGCCACTGTGCTCGAGTAATGCATGCATGCATAAGTATTACTATTTTTTTGATTGGTTATTTGTTTCCTCAACATGATGTCGTTTGTTTCACTGATTTATTATTTCTATATTCACTATTTGATTTATTTTATATGGCAAACATGTTCACTATTTTATGCAGCTATGAGGAGGTGCTGAATCCCTTGGGTTTCGTCATTGTCTCCATTGAAGACAATGGAGTGGCCGTTGAAGCAAGAAAGGTACACGTACTTTCATCGCCACTACCACTACTGACGGGCCAGAATCGGCCAGCTCTAACGAGTTTAATTAGATCATCACACATTTTATTCACTTTATCAATTTCTTTCAGCATACATTTATTCATGGTTTCAAAGCCAAGCAAGTACGTATAGTTTTGTAAAAGTGCACGACCAATCGACAAGCTAGTTTCAATTGACAATGTGGATTGGAATGGCAAATGTCATGAATTTACCCGCTTAAAATCTCATCCGTACAAATTGCGAATGACAGTATAGTTCCACCATTTTCATGAACATGTTTTCCACCTTTTATATCACTGACGTCAATTCTGTGCGGAACTTCACATGTGAGAACATACAATCATGTTTGTTAACATATTATTTGAGATTTTTTTTAGTTTTTATTGTTCATAAGAGTTGCGTGTAGACCCATGTTCACCATTGTATATTTGGATACAAGCTCGATGTGTAACCATTTAAAGTTATAATGGTTCTATCATACACACATACTTTTTAGTAAACGGATTAGCAATTACAATTTATACAAAACATATATGTTTTGGTATTTGCTTATTCACACACAGTATGTCTAGCTATCCAAATCACCAACTACAGGTAGCAATAATGTCTAATCCTCTTGTTTTTAGGGGATGGAGAAAATGGCAAGGTGGAAGAAGATGGCAAACTGAGCGAAAAAGGAGATTCTCATTACTCTTAATTTTCAATAAAATAGCAGTGGATGGGCATGACATGCAAAACATCAAGCTAAGCTGAGCCGGGTTACCACCGCTAATGTTTACTAGATACACTTGATCATACATGATCAATCCCTGCCCTCGCCATGATCGCGGATTCCCTGCCACCCGGAGCGAGCGCCCTTGGCTTGGAATGGGTGTTTTTGCATCTTGCGCATGCAGCCGCGCCCTTTTTCATTTCCCCGCCGTAGTCTTCTTAGGTCCACGTCGGCTGGACTCACGATACCCCCCTGTATTTCGTTGCTGTCTCGCAATCCGGTCTGTGCTGTAATCGAGTTTGCTTATGGAATCAATCTGCCTTCTCTATTTTATCCTGGAACGTTCGCGGCCTAGGCGACTGCGATAACTGCGAAGACGTTCTGTCCGAGCTAATCTCCGGTAACCCCTCTGTTGCGCTGATCCAAGAATCAAAGCTAGAATCTCTCTCCGTCCCTAAATTGCGTACCTTTCTTCCTCGGCCACTTAATCTCTCGGTTGAACTGACGGCCGTTGGGTCTGCCGGGGGTATTATCTCCGCGGTTAACTCTTTAAGAGCATCTCCAGCCGTTCGGCCCCCCAGGGCGCTAAAAAAGAGCAGTTTGGGGGTGAACCGGCACTAGTTCGGCCCCTGGGGGTGACCTAGCTCCCAGTAACGCCCCCAGGCGCCGGCCCCAGGACGCAGAAAATTTGAACTTGGTCGTTCTCGCTCACAAAAGACGCCACAAGTCCGGCGATCACAAGTCACAGTTCGGGGATCGAATATGGTCAGGCGTACAAAAAATAGAGCGGCACAAGTTCGCTTGCGCAACGCATCACTCGACGGGGTCGGCGGAGTCGGCGTGTGCGGGCTTGGAGGTGTCGGAGCTGCTTCTGCGCTGGGCTGTGTCGGCGCGGCTTCGGTGCTGTTGGGCATCGTGGAGGCGTCATCACGCGGGCTTGGCGGCGGCGTTGGCGTCGGCGTCGTCGTCGAGGGAAGCTGGTTCAGGATGAGGCCGCGCTCCACCAAGTACCACGCCTTGTCCGCCTCGTCGGTGCTCTGGAGCATTCCTGCCCCGCCCAACAGGAAAGCCAGGTCGGTGTTTCTCTTCTTCGCGGCGACATTGGTCCGGAGTAGGTCGAGCTTGACGGCGCTGCTCGACATCAACGTCGACCACCACGCCTCGGTCTTCTCTTCACGAAGGACGGCCCGGGCCTGCGCGTCGGCGAGGGAGTGCTCGATGGACTCCTGCACTCGAGCGGTGGCCACGTCGGCGTGTTTCCCCTTCTTGGCACCTTTGTTGCCGTCCGGCCGCCCTTCCGATGCGCCAGGAGTCGGCACGTCCGGCTTGTAGGTCTCCTTGGCCTTGTCGAGGGTGCGCCGGACTTCCGCCCACTTCTCACACTTGTCAATGCGCTTGTAAACGTGGAGGTACTTGAATTCGGTGTCACTGTTGCTCTGCCGGTACAGGGCTTGCGGAGGAACAAACAGTTGGCGGGCGTACACGGCGAAGAGAGGCGGGAAACCGGCGTGGCGTACCTGATCCTCAATGCTGGCGCCGCTCTCCGGGCGAGCCGCGACCTCCTCGACGACCCCATGCCATTTGTTGCACGCCCCTGGATACGCCCCCAATGGTTCGCCATCGCCTTCGAGCCGCGCTGCATGTAGACGCCTTTGAAGTAGGCTCGAACTCGGCTTTGATGCGCTCCCAGTACGTCTCGATGCTCTGGTTCATGCCGGTGGTCGGGTCGAGGCAGATGACTTTCCATGCTTCGGTGAGGCATTCCTCCTCCTTGGACGCCCACTTGATGCGTGGCTCGCCTGACCTCGCCGCCCGCTTCTTCTTCTTGTGCTTCTTCGCCGGAACAGTCGCAGGCTCCTCCTCCTCCTCCTCCTCGCCTCCTCCTCCAGCTCCTGCTCCTCCTCGCTGTAGACGTAGCCGAGCTCGTCGTCCATGCCGCCGCTGAGATCCACCGTCTTGTCCGGGGTGTCGAACCCGGGAGACGCGGCGGCTGCGGCCGAACCTGCGGCGATGATGTCGTCCATGTCGCCCTCGGTCTCGTCGGTGTCGCCGAGGTGCGAGAAGGGTAGCCCGCAATGACGGAGATGGGGCGTCGGGGAGGACGCGTAGGCGGGCGGCGAGTAGTTGTATGAAGGGTACTGCACGTCGGCGAAGGCGGGCGGGGGCGTGCGCTGGGTCGGGTGTCCATGGGGGAAGGTGACGTTTGGGTTGAACACACCGTGCGCGTCCCCGTCAGCGTAGCTCGGCGAGGGCGATCCCCATGGCTGCAGCGACGGAGAGCCGACGCTTTGCTGGCCCCAGGGAGCGTACTGGGCGTGGCTGCCGGGTGGATTCACCATCCCCGCGCGAGTCGCCTCGGCCTCGGCTTGGTCCGCCGAAGCGGCAGCCGCAGCCGCGCGCGCCGCGTTTTCATGGGCCTTCTTGGCGATGGCCCTGTTCCGCCGGTCGGCGGTGATAGCCTCCCATCGCTGAACTTCCGCCCTCCACTCGACGTTTGGCATGCCCGGTGGCTTGGACGGCGGCGCCTCGGCTTCCTCTGCTTCGTCTGGGCGACGGAGGCGGTCGTGGTTGCTGCCGCGCAGGGGACGACGTACTTCTTCGGTGGCATGGCGGCCGGCTGGGAGGCGAGCGGGAGGGAGATTGGCGGGAGGAAAAGAGAAAATGGGAGGGAAGTGGGGGGAAAGCGGGAAGAAACGACGGGAATAGGCGCTGGACTCGCCGACAGGGCAGACCCACGCACCCTTTTCGCTTGTGCCGGCGCCCCAGGCGCCCCCCAGGGAGCCGGGTTCTGCCTGGGTTCGCCGGCACCAGTTTCGGCCCGAGCCGG